CCCCAAAACCCCAAAACCCCAAAACCCCATAGAATTAGTGATGTACTCATTTTTTAATTTGAATTCATAATTGGTAGAATAATAAACTTGAGTCAAAACATAAATAAATAATTAGTTTTTATTATTTTCTGATAGTAGCCCAAGTATGTCTAAAACTAGAGACGACTTTAATTTCCAATTTAAAGATGAAATTGCCTTTGGTAAGGATATTGAGCCAATAAATTTTATAAATAATAGAGCGTAGAGCTATTGAATCTGAGAAAATCAGACTCAAGTACGATGGAAGAATTCCTGTGATCATAGAAAAATCGAGTACCGACTAGGTGCTTTGCGACCTAGAATAGACAAAGTAAGAATTCATTTAGAAATCTGACTGGTTCCTAATCTTATTCATCTAAATTCTAGATTCTTAATTCCAGGAGATTTCACTTTCTAGCAATTCTAAATGGTTATCAGAAAGAGACTGTAGCTTCCAAAAACTCATTCTTTATACATATTCTTCCATAATAACAAGTTGCACGCTAATGGTAAGTTAAGAAAAATCAGTCTTATAACACTTTGATTGAAATAAAACATAATTAATTAATGAGCATATATTGATCAAAATTATAGAGAAATCTCTAAGTTAGATATATAGCGAATGCAAAGATCACGATGGGTTCTTGTACTGCAAATATGCTAGTGAAAACTTCACAGGCTGAATAGGCTGTTTTAGTTGATAGATCATCTCAATCATTTAAGATGAGGTGATTAAATTGAAATATATACCTCATCTATAACTATAAAAGAGCGCAATTGAGAATAATATATTTCCTTAAGAATTTAACTTTAAATGATCTTATTTCTGATAAACTTTATTATTATCAAACTAATTATAGTTTAATTCAATCCTCTTATTAGTCTAATTTCTCATCATCATTGAGTTCTCCACAGTTAGCAATTTTAACTGTTAAAGATGGCTTATCTGATGCTTCAGTCTTGATTTTCTCAACTTCTTTGACAATATCCATGCCTGAAATTACTCTACCGAATACTGTGTGCTTTCCATCTAACCACGGTGTTTCCTTGAAGGTTATAAAGAATTAAGAACCATTGGTGTTTGGTCCAGAATTAGCCATTGAGAGAAGACCAGGGGTAACATGTGGAATCCATACCTGTTCATCGTTGAACTTGTGGCCGTAAATGCTCTTGCCACCAGTGCCATTTTGGTTTGTAATATCTCCGCCTTGCATCATAAATCCTGGAATAACTCTATGGAAGATGTTATCCTTATAGCTAAGCTCCTTATCTCCAGCACAAATGCTTCTGAAGTTTTCTGCGGTCTTGGGTGTCTATTTAGTGAATAGTTCAAATACTACTCTTCCTGATTAGAACTCTTCAGTGCCTTCCTCACCAATCTGAAGGTCAAAGAATGTTTGTGAGTTTGACTTATCAAAATCTGGTAATCCATCTACTTTCTTTGATTTTGGTACTTCTTTTTCACTGTATAAACCAGCAGAGAACATACTAGACATGGTCTATTGTTACTTTTATAGATGCTTTAATCTCAAAGACTTGATGTTTTCGAATTCATCCCTTAAGTTTTTAGCTGCAGGATCAATCTTAATTGCTTCCTTAATATCTGTTAAAGCTTCATCAAAATCAGTTAGCTTAGATCTTGCTTAGGCTCTTAAATAATAAGCTTTGACTGCCTTTTCATCAATATCAATGGCAATTGTACAAAATTCTACTGTATTCTTGTATTGGCCAAGATTATTTGAAACCACTGAAAGATTCTGGAGGACAGTCTTTTTTAGCTCATTTGATTCCTTAGTGACTTCTTTTATTTTGTCTAAATTCATCATTGATTGTATATAAAGATCGTAAGCTAATGGAAATTCCTTTGTCTTAAAGAAGCCATTACCCTTATCTTTCATTTCGAATCCTTATTGATAGAGCTCTTGATCACTAACTTGAAATTTCTTTGCGATAACATCATCAATCTTGTGAATCTCAACTTTGAAAATCAGAGTTGAATTTGGGGGAATATCAGCACCAGCACCTTTATCTCCATAAGCATACTCAGGTGCTAAAACCAGCTCTGCTTTTTCTCCAATTCTCATTGACCCCATTCCAATGTCCCAGCCCTTGATTACTTGCCCAGTGCCGATATCAAAGCTAAATGCATTCTCTGGGTCAGTTGATGAGTCAAAAACTTTTCCACTCTCAAGTCTACCTTCATAGCATGCATGTACAGTCTATCCCTCTTCAGGTTTTGGATCTTACTCGTCACCATAAGCGTAAATTCTCTTAACCACACCTCCGTCTTCAGTTAACTTGACTTCCTCTAGCCAATTTGAAGAAAAGCCTTCCATTCTAATATCTTTAAGGAAATTTCTAGAATTAATTATTATTGAGATAACTTAGATATGCTATATTCATCATTGAGGGGTTTTGGGGTTTTGGGGTTTTGGGG